AGTCGGCCTCAGCAACAGGGTGGAGGGTAGGCTGGGTTATCAGCCCTCGCAAGTACACTGAAATCATCAGAGCTGTTCACGACCAGACGGTAGGCCTCTACTCTTCAATGGCGAGAGCCTTTCATCACTTTAGGTACTACAATCACCGTCACCTATGCAATATGGCACAATCGCCTTCACTGAGCTCAGTGATAACTATTTCAAGCATTACCTTCCTGAGAAGTACTCCGAAATAACAATACCATCCATCCTTCAATTCGTCCTTGCATAGGTACCAGAGAAGGCGAGACTTATTCGTACCAGCCCTCCGAGAACTCGGCTTCAAAGTCACTACACCTCACTCGGCATATTACGCGTAAGGGAGTTGCTACTGATAATGAAGGTCATTCGCTTCTCCTCAGGTTTGCCAATTTTCGTGAGGTGCCCAAACTGAAGGGAATGTCGTCTTGGGAGGCCACCGACTACCTTGTTGAGGAGGGTGGTGTTGCTGGGGTGGCCGGGGCTAACTTTTGTGAGAAGGGCTCGGGTAGAGGGGAGGATTATGTAAGCCCTCGTGTGTCACCATCGTCGTGTCACCACCACTACCACAGATACGGTTCTGCTTCTGCCGAACTGATGACGAGTTGATGACGGCCATTAACCGTCTTAGGAAGGCATTGCAGTGAGACTCCTCTTTCTTCTTCTGCTGCTGCTCCTCCTTTTTGTTTACTATATCGTCGAGCTCTGCAGGCAGTCTCCTGCTAGTCCCAAGGGTTCATGCTTGCGTTACTCAATGGTGAAGTGGTATTACTATCATGGTCGTAAAGTAGCGGTAACAGCAGATCCATGGGAAGCCTCTGGAGTGGTCACTACTCATCCTAGAAGTACATTATAATGTCTAAGACTAATGACGGAACATCGTCGTCACCCCCGAGTTGGGCAACAGCAGGGGGTGGGGAGAACGCTACTAGGGCACGAGTACCAGGCTGGATGGTCGGCGACAGCGGCCCTGGTGGTGAAGGGACTACTACGGCTAAGGGGCAGCACCAGGATGGGGGAGGGGCAATGGATGCCTTCTTACCAAAATTTCGCCAATTCCTCACTATAGTGAGTTTTGGATATCACGAAGCCCTAATATCATCGTCATCATGATCAGGTGGATCCAGCCCGGGAGAAGGGCAGTTCGGATGAAGACCTCCTCGCAGTACTTAGAGACTACGATACCCCTGAGGGCCTGTTCGCCTCACTCGATGAGCAGTAGTGCGGCTAGTAGGTCCCTCTGGTACGAGCATCATGCAAGGTACAAGGCTGAGTGGCATCAACACCAGGATGGGGTTCAACCTGCCCCTCCGGCCCCGGCCGCGGCGACATCTACTGCATCATCCAAACCTCGGTGTCAATACGGCAATAAGTGTTATAGGAAGAACCCACAGCACATGAGGGACTTTGACCACAGTCACAGTCCTCTGCTGCCGAGCCAGAGTGGTGGGGATACGGTCACTCAATCACCTGATAAGAGGAAGAAGCGCAAACGGGAGAAGGACAGTCCAGAGGAGTCTGGGGAGAGCAGTGACCTCTCCTCGTTTATAGTGAGTACCTCATAGTCGCCCTCTTCCTAGGAAGTGCTCAGGTGCCGGATGATGTCACCGACTCCCCTGAGCGTAATGGTGAGTTGCCCCTGTGGACTGCCCTATTAGAGTTGTCGTTGCAGATGATGATCCTGACTATACCCCCGACACCAGCGGCAGGGACTCTCCTTCCCCTCCCCCCTCAGCACCAGCACGGCCAGTGTGTATGTATGGTAGGAAATGCTATAGGAAGAACCCCGTGCACTTCAAAGAGTTCGCCCATCCGTGGCTCGATAATGATGATGATGATAAAGCAGCTAATCCTTATCGCGATGCATTTGCGTTAGTGCCTCTCCTATGATTTTATAGCTGCGTGTCGGGCTATGTCCTTCTCTTCGTCTTCATCACCAACCGGTCACCAGCAGTATGCATATGATTACGATGAAGACACCCATGGTGCTGCTCAACTCCACCACCACTCTAAACTTATCCGTTTACCCCCTTCAGGTCGATCTCCTAAAGCACTAGGAAGGAGGAGTGACCTTAGTAGGCCCTCGAGGGTCTACTACTCGTAGAGTGATAGATCGTTCTAGATGACCCCCGTCGTGATAGTCGAGGAAGCTTCGGCAGCAGGGCCAAGCCTTCCATAAAGCTCTTCGTAGGCTCGATACCCTTCAGCATCAACGAGGTATGCTCGCCTTAATGACGATGGGCGCCTCCTCCCCCGTCCATAGGCTGATCTTGAACCACTCTTCACACCCTATGGGGAAGTAGTAGAGCTAGTGATACAGCGACAGTCAGACGGGCGTAGTAAAGGATGTGCTTGGCTGAGGTCAGCTCCTCATCGCGGACCGCCTTATGGACCTCCCTCACTGTAGATACGCTACGAAAGCAGAGTGCGATGCCTGCATCAAGGCTCTGCATAACACGTAAAGTGGTCGTAGTATTCTGGGTTTAGTGTGTGGCAAGGTACCAGTGGCGGACGGGTAGTACGTGGAGTTTGATGCAAGTGCGGTATGCTATAGGGGAACTCGATGGGTATCATAATAAGCTCTTCGTGGGGGGTATACCAGCCTACTTGGACGATGGTGCCCTCACAGCCTCTTTCTCGACTACGTAGTAGGGCCAGAGGGGACACCATTGAACCTTTCAGTGTGAAGGTATGGGCCTGTGAGGGAGCTTGTGAGTCTTCGCCGGGGGCCAGGACAGAGCACGAATGCTGTGATGGTGAGGTTCGTCCGAAGGGAGAGTGTTAACAAGCTCCTTGCGGACTCTAGAAGACGCCAGATGTAGGGTGACAGAGGGGGGACTGGTGTCACCATGAGTCACCGCAGTTACCTTTGTGGAGTCTACTGCCCTGCGGTTCGAGTTTCCTATGCTCACTACAATCGGCATGGGGACCGCGTATTCTCTACTAAGGCGACTGCTGAGGATAATGTTCTGCAAGAAGGAGAAGGAGTACCCTCACAGAGGCGAGTTCCATCACAGTCTTCCACAATAGGATACCCTCCTGTCCCACAGGGCCCTCCACCGCAGTTACAGTAGTGCTTCGTCGTTCGAGTCCAGTGGGAGAGGCCGGCAGGTCAGCGGGTTGGGCCCAGCTGTTGACCAGGAAAAGGAGGTCGGCAGTCCCAGTCAGCAGCCTCTTCCTCATCACGCCCAGTGGTCATGGCCAAACTACTACTCTTGGGCACCTATGGTAGCAGGCAATGGTCATGAATACAGGTTGGATGGTGCTCCTCAACGGTCTCCTCCTGGTCCTTGCTATAGTCAGGTCCTCCTCCCACCCCACCATGTACTACGTGCCTAGCGGCCCTGTTGGGAGGCAGCTCTGTATAGGAAACATACCGTCCTACAAGTGAGGGTCGACCTTAGTCAGTCGAATAGATGCAAAGTGGCTCTCCAGAAGCTTCTCCGATGTTACTGATCTCCTCACACCGTATGGTTCGATTCTACACATCACTGCTGTTGATGATGAGGATGCTGATCATGGTACTATGACAGTATCAGCAGTGATGGCATCGGATGCTGAGGTAGTGACGGCGGTCCCCTTAACGTAATAGGTGTTTCAGGCGAGTGCTGCCGAGGCGGCATTGAATGGTTATGTATTCCCGGACGACGAAGCACAGCTTCCCTTGAACGTGTCAAGGGTAGTGTGGAGTTCGAGAGAGGTGGTGACACCGTAGACAGGTGACACCACCTCAAGAGTGGTCTCCGGCTTATTACTCCTACTACCCTTCACCAACGACCGATACCATCCCTGGCAGTATAGCAATGACCAAGATAATGGCTGGCCTCCTCAAAGCACAGGAGACTCTGGTAAGTGGCCGTGCTGGTCCACTGCTCTCACACATCCTTCAGGCTCGGCATTCGCCCGTATACGCTGGTTCCGGCAGCTTCCCTCAGGTGGGCGGCATTCTGGTAGCCTGGTGCCAAGGCAGATTCTTAGGCCCCTCTGAGGCACCACTGTCACAACTGCTCGGGAGAATACTGGTTGCCGCCTATTATCACTGCAGCAGCCGCTGGACATATTCAACTTGCTGCCAATTTGACAAACTCTGCGATCGTCTCCCTCCCAGCTGAATGTAGACAAGCCTCTCGTGACATCTGACACTGCCCGACCTCAACTTTAACCATCTCTCTATTCTAATTCTTCCAACGGTATCATATAATCCTATTTTGATCCCTATTCGGTGGTCGTAGTTTTCACATAACACAGACAGCTGGCATCTAATTTTTCTACAGTATCTTTAAACTCTCCACTGTTGTGGTTATCTTGATATATATTATACTCCTCAGCTCGGGGACCACATTTTCAGCCAAGTCTCTTTGGTTCATCTAGTTGGGAGATCATACGACGGGCGTTGCAGAGATTACTTCTACTACACTTGCCGCGTAAGTTGACCTCGGCGGAACCGTTCCGGGAACTCTTAGGAAATTATAGTGTACTTATTTCGACTGCTTGAGTGTGCTCATGCATACGCTCCATCTAGCATAATATCTGTTTATCGTCACAACGCACCCTAGTAGTGGCAGGTTGGCAGGTGATGAAGAAAACGGGCCACCCCTCGGAATATCCCAGCGTGTATGAATATCAGACAAACTCAGATGCCATTTCGAAGATTTTCACGAGTTCTCTCCAACGGTAGTTGAATCAATTCCACACTCTTCATATCTATAGATGAGCAGCGTAACATTTTTCTACGTTTACGTTACGGTGTGAGTAACGTAAGCAGTTGACGGTTACGGGAAGGCCTTAGGACTTGGCGGTTGGTGCTGAACTGCCTTCCCGGGATTGTGGCGAAAACACTCGCTGTAATGCACTCCACCATAGCTCAAATCGTGGTTAAACTCATTCCTGGTGGCTCGGATTCAACCGAACCGCTGAAAGAGTAACATTTGGTTTCGCATTTACTAGCCGCCCCTCCGTCTAAATCCCAGGCTGGCCCGGAACTGCCGGGACGGCCTCGTCTGCGCATGCGCATTCACATTGAATAGATATAGGCGTCTTGAATGACCAATCCTCGTTTTGTCCTCTGCATCTCCGTAAGACCCGTTACGGCGCCGTAATTTTACATTACGGGGCTTGAGGCGTAACCGTAAAAGTGAGCCGTAATTCTGCCCATCTATATTTATGTTCGACAAGGTATGACGATATGGAGAAAGCCGTGTATAGGGAAAAGTCCTGGCAGATTCCATTCCTACAGTGTTCCCGTCTATCGATAGGCCAACTTAGCGATATGCGACGATATTCCATCCTTTGGCTTTGGAACGGTAAACCTGGTTGGCGCGCCTATGGCATCAGAAAGTTGAACCATAGATAGACGCAAATACAGCGAAATCGACTCTGCCAGAACTTTTCTCTACATACGGGTTTTTCTTTTCGGTATAACTCAGCGAGTGTCGAGAGTATGAAAGACCACCGCTGGAAAGAGCTCGCCGAGTGCTTTAAAATGGTGACTGAACCTGTCTGATATTCGCATGCGTTGAGAAGTTACGGGGGGCCTTTTTCCTCGATCCCCTTATAGAAGCGTGTAGGTGCTCTAGGAATCTCCCTGACCCATGTGATAACCGGGCTCCTCATTAAGGCCCTCTTGAACCACTTTCAGGCCAAACCAGTTCATATTCCATCGCAAGGTTTGTTTCGTGCATTCCTAACGCATCACTGTTCCCATCGGGTTCTTCCGATATAACACTCAATGCAAGGTACATGTAGGCGTGTTGGAAAAACGAATTGCAGGTAAGATAGCAACACTGAACAAACACAACCTGGGTCTTCTCATTCTAACGCTTAGTCGAGATGCTTAGTGTCCTTCACACCGTGAAAACCGCCGTATACCAACTCCACCGATTTGGGATCGATGGCGTATCTGATCAAACAACGGATCTCCCATTTATACAAATCAATCACCATTTCCAGGAAAAAGAGTATACGGAGAAATGACACAAAAATGTACAAAGTCAATGGCACCTCCAGGATGACTATCCTCAAAGCGACCCTATACAGTCGTCCACTACGCCGCGGGCGGCTGGCATTATGCATTCAGTGGTGCCAACAACCCTTCACTCGTTATTACTTTCCTTTGCCAGTAGAGACTAACTCGAAAGTAGTAATGCCGCAGTTGAGCATCTTGTTAGATCTTGCGGGTGTTCGTACGCCTCGGGGAAGGAACGCGTTGAAGAATTCTTGAAACAATCACAAGTATACTCACACCGTGATGGTCACCACCTCACCTCGGAAATAAAGAGAATGTCCAATCGCTATAACACAGTCCACATCGCGCGCCATCGGACCTGACCAAAACTACCCAACAATCAACTGATACCACCTACTGTTGAAACACCAGTCGCAGAACTCATGGAACCTCATCAGGCCATTCGAACTGAGGGGCTTCGATCCGTCGTTAAACCTATTGCCAACTACACGGCAAGTAAACACAGAAAATGCCTTACTTCCCGCTAAGTTTGTGCTCTGAATAGAAGTCAACCACATCCTTGATTTTAGGTTCCGCAACTTCGACAAAACTCGGACCAGGAACACCCTTCTTGGGCGTGAGAGCAAAACCATCCACATTCCGAGTCATCTCCTGAGACCCTGTCCATCCCTCCCAACCGCCATACTAACATCTATCACCTGTAGGGCACTCATGACGTAGATCTGCTCCTGCTTGTGCCCTCCAGTGGAAGGTGCATCTTCATTTTGCAACAGCCTTGCTGATAATGCTATCATCCCGGTAGACACAGCTCTCCGCAAATTCGAGGACGCCATAACAGAAGTATGCTCTGAATTCGCCAAAATTCACTCTCATATAAACCCCGATCACTACCGTGGTCGTCTCCTGCGAGAATTCGCGCATACTCGTTGGTTTTCTTATTGTTTTCAATCCAGTTGAGTAACTTCAAACTCTGCTGAATTCCATCTGGTGAAATAGGAGCATCCCAGTACCTTATACGAATGCCAACAATAACCCCACCCCCCTAGCGAACACATTACAGCGAATCCGCAGTAGGCATCAGCTCCAACTCTTTTATCGAGCACTTCAACAACCTCAACGGGAACGACGGGCCGAATCCTGCACCCAACACCACGGCAGAGTTGATAAGCATATATTGATGCCACAACGCCGACCTTTGTTGAAAACCACATTCCACATACTCTCTCCGTGTCTCAGGAATATGATGCGCTTCCGGTGGGCTCTCTCAGGGAAGGCTCTCGACTCCTCCAAAATCTACAGCGGAAAGTCGATATTCTCTACAAGTGTACGCCAGCATCTCCTCACGATTCGGGTATCAGACGGTTGTTTCCACTTGCGGTCCTTTGAGAGGAAGAAATGCAGAGATGCTCTCGGTATCGCCAACAGCTTCGTCTTGACCTGAGAGGCATCCATCGTGCAAGAGGCCGACCTAGACTCGTTCCCATAGTAGGGTTATGACCTACATCCTCAGCTGATGTGATAAGGAGTACGAGATAGTAAACAAGAGCAGCGGCAACAAGGAAGAAGACCAGCACCTGCAAGGAATATCTTTTAGGGGGAGTAGGTCCAGCCTTACGAACGCTGGAGACCTGGCCATGAGGAAATCTGCGATGAACGATGATCCTGAGGACATTTGGGTCATAAACTGACAACAATCAACACCATGAAGATGAGCGCAACCACAACACAGAGGAAGGGGGAAACTACGAAACTCGGGTAAGCTGGCGACGGTAGAGGACGACTGAGGGCATACTACCGCTTTTGGGGGGTGACCCTTTGTGAGGGGGGGTACCGTCACTTCATAGAACCATCTCCAACAAGGATAGTAGCTAGAATATAGTACAGCGATTCCTAACGCTTCTCTAGGCGGTAGTGGGAAGCACAAGTCGCTTTCTAATGGTGTAAAGAATGTCGACACCACGACCTAGCAGTAGAACCGAAGTACTATGGAGCAGTGCAGTAGTAGTACTAGTAGTGAATGGTATATGGGGATAACCCACTGCTTATGTACATGGGAAAATGCGTCGTCGCCGTCGTAGTCGTCGTCCTACCTCCAAACACGGCTAATCCTGGACGTGTTGGTGGTATAACGGTTGATGATGATGATGATAGGGGTACGTTGGATTTGAAAATAGGACAGAAATAATGATGATGCTCGTGATTAATCCATTGCATGAATGCAATAGTAATAGACCGACAAGGAAAGCGTTCGAGAGTCCACTGAGCAGCAGCATATCACGGCGAAACAGGA